ATACGGACTTGCTTTCTGTGCCATTATTATTTAATTTTAAGATTTTTTTGCTTGGTCCTTGACAATAAAATAACAAGACCGACCAAAGCAACCAGCGAGAAGCCGACAATTGAATAAGCAATTATCTTATTCTCATTGGGATTTTTTGAATTTTCAGTAGTAGAGTTGTTTTTTTGTTGGTTTTTTGATAATAATTCTTGGATTTCCTGTTCTAATTTGCGAACTTCTTCCGAATTTCCGCCTTTATTTTCTTTGATTTTTTGCAATTCGGCTTCCTTTTTAGTTATCTGCTCGTTTATTGTCTCAGAGGAAGTTAAGGTTTGATTTTGAGTATTAGCAGTTCGAGAATTCTTTATTTTCTCTCAACTTTCGCCCATTTCATGACGACAAAATTCCTCTACTATGTCTGGCGGACATTTTTCCCAAGCAGCAATTTCTTCAGCAGTATAGTTTTTGCCTCATCATTTTGCGGTGGATACACTGTCTAACCTTTCAATCTCTTGCAATCTTTTCTCGCGAGAAAGTGAGTTTCAATAATTTTGAGCCTTAACTTCGGCTCGTTGACGGGCCGGTTTTCCTATCTCCTCTGCTTCTCTACAACCTCCTTTCCCTACATAGTCATAATTACCACAGAGTTTTTGCCCCGGAGGAACTAATTTGATAAAACGGCTTCGGTGTTTTTTTTCTTTTAATCATTTTAAGCCGCCGTCTTCGGCAAGCCAATTAACTTTTTCTACACAACCTTCATATTCTTTTCAGCCTTGGTTTAATCTTTCTTGTCGTTTACGCTTTTTTTCTTCTAAATAATTATCAAGGCAATTTTGGGAGCAAATAAATTTTCGATGCTGTTCAAATCCGTTAGCAGGTTTTACAGTTCACCTCAATCTTGGGTCGGGTTTATGCTTATTATATTCCACTTGTGCTACTGATTTTTTACAAACCTGACAGTGAGAAATATTTTTAAAACAGCCGAAACATCATGCCCCCTCGTTAGTTTTAGCACCTAGGCCAGGTCAGCGATTAATACCAGAGATATAATTAATGTCTTGTTGGCAGTTTTCACAGCCGCCGATTTTTCTTTCTACCATAATTGTTATTATTTTTCTTTTTTGCTTTGTCAACAGATTAAAAATATTTGTTGGGTCGCGGCCCGGTCGCAAAAATTAACAAACTCGGTCAACA